TATGATTTGTGAAGTCGTAGACATATATTGTTATAATAATACTTGAAAATAATAAATTGCTGAAGCCAAACGGTGTGAAAATGTATTTATTTAACTAAAATTATGTATTATTACAATATATGCGCACATTTGTCGTGCCTATTACTATTATTATTATTATTATTCTTAAATAAAATAAAATCTTTTTGGTAGTTGCCTAGACTAAATTGAACACAATACTATCCATCAAATTTATAAAAACATTGGTAAAATAATAATCGGACGTTGTGTTTTTAGATCATATTAAATTCAGAGCTTACGATTTATAAAACTAAAATGTACTACAATTTTTTTTATGATTAAAAAAAAAAAATCTTACGATAAATGCTATGCTATATATATATATTATATAGAATATGATTTACCATAAACATGAAACATTGCAACAATGAAACCTAATCATAAATTTTTATCAATTTTAATTAAAATAATTAGCAAATTAAAAGTCCGAACCTTAGAAATAATAGGGGAGACTGGGTGCGATTGTAACATTTTTTATAATATTATTTATTTTTGCCAGTATTTAAACTTTTTTTGTTTTAGTTTGACTTTTAATCACTAAAATTACTTAATACCTTTATAATTATGTGATGATTAAATCTTGATTTTCAGAATCTGTTGCATAAATGAGCATGAACGAGGATTAAAAAAAATAAAAAAAATAAAAATAATACAATTGTACCTCAAACAGAGAAAATTGTAAAACAATTAGGGATAATAGTAATTTTCAATTTTAAATGGTTTATTTTAATCTTTAGAACTACTTCACATTAATAATTATAAATAATAACATTTTGGTGGAGAACTAAACTCCATGGCTTTTAGTTAGTTGATTTATTGATTTAAACCGACATGACAAATATTTAGGTCTTTAGTCACTAATCGTATTGATTTTTTTCTATGAGGTATATCTCTGCAGAATTTTGTATAATTACTTCATTAGACCCCCGATACGAAATTATCTTATGCGTGGCATAGTTATAATAAAAAAAAAAAAAATTTAATCTAATGAAATATAGATCAACAATTTAATGTTACAATTATCCCCATTCAATATTATTTTAAAAATTGAAATACAAAGAAAAATACTTACTATTTAGTGTATTTTGAAAAATATCTAGATAAACTACACAAGTTTCTTATCAAATTAGCATTAAAAAGAAAAAAAGAATAAAGTACAACAGGGAAAAATAATTGTAATCTTATAATTTTTATTTTTCACATTTTTTACATTTTTTTTTCGAACGTTAATTATAATATCAATGTTTTGATAAGGAAAAATTGATTATTGGATAGTGTAACAAATTTCATATTTATTTGACGTTTTTGTGTTGTTTGCGGAACAATTTATTGCTAGTGTTACAATTGTCCTTTGTTAAATATCTTATACTAATGAATACTGTAAATCGAAAAACGCGTTTAAATTTGTGTCACGTATAAGTACATGGCATACAAGTGTATGAGTAGCTATGATATAATATAACTTTTTGTAGCACTTAAAAGCTTAAATAATACTAAAATATATTCTTAAAGTTAAAAACTGTAAAATATGCAAATATATACAAAATAAAACTTAAGATTTAGATTCCTTGCATCATGAATAGAACTTTTATTTGACTCTGATATTTTATTAGTCTTTCAAAAAAAAAATATGCAAATGCTAAAAGTCCCTAAGCCCAAGGCCGTGATGTCAGCGTAATAACTTATTACGTTGACATCGCGGGTTTAGTGCCGGATGGAATAAGGATATCGGTCGACATGTTTAAAAACGTCGAATATATACCAGGTTATATACATCTAATAGGTCGTATTATTGCGAATGGACTATTGAAATTAATATAATTTCTTTCTGTTCTTTTTTACCCCGACATTGATTTTCTAAAACCATGTGTCACTCGTACAACGTTTAATTTTGTATTGACGTTATTTCAAAAGACTTTACGCATAAACTTGTCGTTCAAAAGCAAACAAAACATATAGATAACTTTATACCCATGTTGTCCGGTCCTTGAAGGTATATTGCATTAATTATTAAACTAATTAGTTTTTGGCAAAATTGCAAACTTGTATGTTTTTGCTTGTCTTATTTATATAATTGCACATTTTAAAGCATGTTTTGTGAAAGTTTCGATTTTCCATTTAATATTAAAACCAAACTCTTTGATGAACGGTTATTTTAAATAGTCCCCAGTTCGTGTAACATGAATTCGTAGAATTTCAAATAAAAATTTCATTACCACACGACGTTGAAAATACTTATAAAATCTATGAAATGTTTATACTACGAACATTTTTTTTAATACTGTCAGATTTAACATTATTTAAACTTGAATGTAATATTTGTATTTTAATTTAGATTTTTTTAAAATTTTTTTTCTAAGTTAATTAGTTTTTTAATAATAAAAACTGTATAAAAATTATTTATTTTATCGATATATTATATGTTTAATAATAGCGTTTTTGATTTTAAAATAGATATTTTCATATTTTGTTCATATACTTTAATTGCATACTATGACATCTTCACGTTACTTATTAGTTTTGAAAATCTCCAACGTACGTTGTGCATCCAACAGTTTCCGAGAGTACAATGAAGATGAATGATTTAAAACTGTTTTGAGGTCAACCAAATCTGTTAGAATTAAACATGTATTATAACCTGCGTTGCAAATTTTTAAGTTTTAAATTTATACTATTTCACAAATCAGTGATACAATATGGGTTTGTCACCATAAAAACTGAAAGGCAATTTTAGACAACTTCAAAACTATTATAAACATTTTAAACCAAGAGTTTAAGATGTATCAAAATAACATGGAAAATTATTAAAAAAATACAAAAATAATTGTATTTATTCTTTCATAATTGCAAAAAGAATCACTTGTTATACGCGTATATTTTATCAACTATATTTGAAATATAATTAATAATCTTAGCAAACAATTGCAACACGAAAATGGGATACTTGGTTATGCAGCTAGTTAAATAAATGCGATTATAAAAACTTTTGAAGATAGTCAAAATCACTTTTGAATATACATAAAAATTTGGGAAAATATAGTAACATTTTATTGAGATCATAATATAGAATTAGAAATCATATTCATATTTATTAATAGTACCCAAACGAAAAAAAACGCAGCCTTTATTTGTAAAAAAAAAATTGCTTAATTACAACGACTGCAGCTGAAAACGAGGAGTCTGTTAATGAAACCATTTTAATTAATTATTGGAAAGTACACGTTTATTATTCGATATCTGACGAAGTTATAAATAATATAAAGACAAGATTTTCTCCGGAAAGTTTGCAGTTGGCATTTGCTATTAACCTCTTTTTAAATCAGAACTCTGAAAATATTAAAAATTTTTATTTAACAATGTAGGATATGTAAAATGTAAATTAATAAATCAACTTCAATTAAAATTAGTATATTTAAAATTGTACTAATTATGTCCCTTGATTTGAATTGACACCAAACCGAAATGACGATTACCAAAATTTATATCCAACATTATAATAATGAACGGGAATAAAAAAATCAAATAAATTTGTTCAAAATATAAATAACAGTTTATAAACACAACATTTCCTAATACATTTATGCTTCTAAATTTAGCTCTGACCTTACAAATTTCTTCGGCATCACGTGAGAGGTGATTTTCGACTATGAGAGGAATCCGTTTTTCATCCTTGGCAATACTAAACATTTCAAAAGTTATTTCGAATAATACAGACTCGAATAGTATTTTAATTATATACTCCAAAAATAATAGACGTTTGGAAAAAAAGTCGGTTTAAAATAAACACATTTTATTCTTATCTAGATTACGGTATCGTATTTGTTTGATTTACGATTGTTATTAGTTTGGCGAAGGGGTGAAAATCCGTAGCCCTACAGCCTACATTTCCGTTTCGCCGACGCGTTGTCCTCGCCAGGACCGAAACGAAAACAACACTCGGTCCGAGCACAGGTGGACGAAATGTTTTCAACACCGCATCGAAACCAATCCATTGACGTTCGACAACGGTACGGATACGAGTCGAACGGAATCGGTGTTAAATAATATATTATTATATAATATAATATATTATATAATATATTATTATATAATATAATATATTATTATGGTTCGATGCGAAACGCAGATCGTACCTACACTTGGGATCACGACGAAAACAAGAAACGCGCAGAAAGAACCTGTACCGAAACGGAATTGATTGGATTTTTAAAACGCGCGTTGAGGACGTTTTTACACAGTAAACGTTTGTTTCGAAAACGGTGAGCGCACGTAATGGACATTGCAAACGGTCGGTTATTAAAAAAAAAAAAAAACATACCAAACTGTAACAATCGACGATAAAAATTTTGAAAACCGATTTGAATTTGACTTATTGTCTTCTTTATCAGTCCACATTTTCCAATATCATTCCCTGATTATTATAAATTTGATTTGAAAATATTTTCAAATTTCAAATTTTCAAACGTTGATTCTTCAGATTTTAATAAATAATCTTAAAATGCGGACCAATCAATGTCAAAAAGACTAAATAACGCATTCGGATAAGTTTTCAGAAATATTATCGCATTATTAGGTTGGACGGTAGTCGCTGTTGATCGTGCCGAATGTTGAGCCGAAAACGTTGTCCGAACGATAAGCGCGACCCGGGAGACGGTTCGACCGAGCGTTTCGCCGGGTTCCGGATTGTGGCTAGTTCGGCCGCTAGACGCCAGGGATCGTGGCGCGACCCGCAGGACCCAGGGCTCGCGATCGCGCGCGCGTGTATCCTCCCTCCCGCGACCCTCCAGCGACCCTCCCGCCCGGGCGGTGGTGTCGCGAGCGTTCCCATAGGGCCGCGCGGATTTCTGGGCGACGACGTCAGCGCGCACGACCACCACCGTCATCGCTCACCCCTATAAATACGGCATGTTCGGCGCGCCCGCGTTCGTTCACAAGCAACACTCCGACTGCCACCTGCCAGCCTGCCAGCCACCTGTTTGTCGCGCGCCACCTTCAACTTTACGGTAAGTACCGCTTTTCAAGTATTCCCCCAAATTTAACTTTAAGTTTCGTTTCATTATTTCTCCCTCGTTCGCAATATTTTCTCCGGCTTCGTCCCGACTCTTTATAATTTTTTTAAATTTTCGAACGATATTTTCCTCCCCGAAAAACATCATCGAAACGTACGAAAAACACCCGGATTCAAGAAACGACTGAAAAAAAAATATAGTTTCCTACGAACTACGAACTAGCGGTTATTTTTCAAAAATCTCCAACTGTCGGGTTTTATTGATTTTAAAAATTTTACTAGTTCGTAGGATTTCCGTGAAAATAAAATAATTTTCTTGCCATATTTTTTCGCGAACCATAACTGTTTAAAAGGTTTCCAATTTATGGGCAATCGATGAAAAACGGTTTACAGGAAGAAGATCGTCCGGAAATTGCTATTCGGGAAAAATACTAAGAACACTGTATTTTTTATTACCGTTCCTCGCAAACGGTTATTATTAATATATGTTTGGTCGAGATCCGTTTATTTTTTTTCGGTGCGAAAAAGGGGAAAAAATGAAGTCGATGAAGTTTTTATTTTCATTTTATTGCGTTTACCAGGGCAGTTGGTTATTTATTTAATTTTTCGAACGTCTCTCGCGACGTTCTCCTAATTTTAAACGTGTTACAAAAATATACTATACGCATTTTATTTGTTTTCAAAATCGTTAGACGATTTTTGAGATTCAAAAATATATTATACGATATTGTTGTTTTCAATCGAGAATAAATTGGTAATTGACTGTATGAGTGCGATTTGCATTTTGCTATATTTACATGTTTACACAGCGCTATCGAACTTCAAACTCTGACGTCTGTAAGATTATTATAATTTCATAAAAAAAAAAGCAAAATGCAGATATTGAAATGCAGGTCGCAAATGTACCACAATTACTAATCTATTTTTTTAAGGTTTATTAGGGCATCCAAGTTTAATTTTTTTTTACATTTTTCAATAATTATTAATTATACACAATGTTAATCTAATAATAGATAAACATGTAAATAGCTTATTATCGTAAATAAAAATATATATCTTTTGATAGACAAAAGTTAAGAATTACCGTATATTAAAATACGGTTGGTGTTGGTAATGTAATAGTTTACGTAAAAAGAATGGTATATTTTATAGTCTAGTATTTTTATGATTAGTAATTAGTTAAATAATTTAAATATATTTCATTAATCGTTAGTGTGTATGTTCATAGAAAACGTTATTTTAACTATAATGAAATATATATCTGCTATTTAGTTTAAGTAGTATTACTTTGCTATTTGAAAAATTAATTTTATTTACTATTCTTATAAAGGTAATATTTCCTTTTTTTATACTTATATTGTTCGGTCGATTTATGTCATTTTGAAAATGACTTTTTTATATATATTTCAGTCATAAAAATGGGTGAAAAATATATTAGCAAACATTTCAACATGGTATAGACCTTATATGATATTATTTGTTTTGTTATAATTTAAATAGTTGATAATATATATCATATTAATTTCGAACTACGAATATATCAATAAAATTTCACTTTAAAATTAATAAAATGTCTTCATTTGTTCCGTAAGATAGAATATTTTAAAACCTAGTTAATTTAATTTTTTTTTAACTCGTATTTCAAAATTATTGAATTACAATTTATTTACAATTTTAAATAATTTTGTATTTTTGATCATTGCTATGAGTTTAAGACGTACACCATAATGATTTATAATGAACACCAGTATCGATAATCATTTTAATATTTACATTTATTTTGTACTTTAAATTATTTGTTTTTATTGACATTTAATCCTTATAATATTGATTATATATAAAAAATTATATACTTACATAATAACGAGTACTTCCCATAAATACGAAAAACAGTTTTACTCTGTGATCGTTTTGTAATGTATCAGAAATCAAGTCAGAGTCAAGTTTTTGGTATAGTTATATTTATATTTATTACGCATGTTTTCACTAGTTCTTAAATATATGAATTAAATGTTATTTATAATGTGTTTGATAATAATTTATAAATGAGTCAAGATGTAAATGTTGAAAAAATGAAAAATAACACTGGTATTTTGTTGTAGTTTGTTTATCATTATTTTATAGTCATGAATAAAATATAAGTTTATGTGTAAAAAATAAGTGTACGTGAAGAAAACTAATGTTATCAATACATTTATATGTTTCAAATAGTTTTATATTATATTTACTTAAAGTTATGAATAAATAATTGTTGTCACTCATATTTTCTAAAGTTTATTTATATAATATTATAATCGAACTAAATTACTGAATATCACACATTTTTTTTTTTTTTATAAAATTATCCAGACTCAAATATTATTTATAAGTCATTTTAAACACCAAATACAATTATAAAAAAAGAATATTTCAACATTAAATATTATTTTTTATTGTACACGTTATATTGTATGCTACAAAATATATTTCTTGGCGTATTTAAAATATTAGTTTGAAAAATTATTAAAAATAAGAATTATAATAAAAAATTATAAATAAAATATAAAAAAAAATAATTATTAAAAAAAATAATAAATATTATTCAAATTATTTTAATTTTATTTCTAAAATAATATAATCTTATTTAATTACATTAGCTACGTTACCCATCATTTATTAAATTCTTAAGTGATCAATTGTTTAACAATGTTGCTATAATATTAGTAAAACGTATAAATCATTATTGAAGAACATTTAAAATTCATAATTAGGTACCAAATACATTTATTTCAGAATATTATAAACTGTTATTCGCATACGAAATCAAATTATAACTTTTTGTTTTATAAATATGTATTCGTGGTATAATAGTATATAATCGAACACCAAACAGATTACGAAACATAATCTTTGACATATGTAGCAGGTGTTAACATACTTGTTAAAAATTAACAAACCATAACATGAATAAAAATGACAATGGCTAATGGCAATAAAATAATCTTACTAATGAAAAAAAATAAAAATAAAATCAATATAAAACAAAAAGATACGGCAAACTTTTTTTTTCCGACCTAAATTAAATCTGATTAAAAACAGGCGATGTATAACAGTATACAAATACCGACTTAATAATAGGCTTAAATTAATTAATTTATGCTCTATGTATTAACAATTTAATGACATGTAGCTCTGCTATAAATATAATTGGAGTCTTTTCAATATTAAAAGCAGCTTACTTATTTCTTAATTTTCGTAGAAAATTTATTCATTTTTATATTGATATAATTATTTTATACAACTCTGGGGTTCAGTCAATCCTTCCAGTATAGATAAAATCCAATCGTTTCAATCTAAATGCCTTCCGTCGAATAACAAAAGCCTATTTCTTTGTCTCAAACGACACAATTCATAATCACCTCACCAGGCAAACAGTAAAAGAAGTAGCTAAAAACCTCTCTATAAAGCTCCCGCTCAAACCTATCCAACCACCAAAATCTTCTTGTGTCCAACTCAAATGTTTTCAATATTCCGGGTGATCCCAGAAGGTGTTTGAAACGCAAATGGTATTTTATAAATAAGTTTCAATAAGTCTTAGCGCTGGATGGACTCTTCGATCAAGACTGCAATGCGTCCATTATTCTCACTCCAATTATTTGTTGTAAAAAATATTTATTTACAGATTGTATAAATAAATGTATAAATTAAAAAAAAAAAATGATAATAATAATTATTGAAGATTTATAAAGGAGCTCGATTGGTGAGCGATTTAAATATATATGGCTTACCTTCAAGAGTTCATTAGTGTCAGTATTCATAATTTTATTTGCAACGAGGATCGAGCATTGTACTCGAGGACAATACAATAATATTAGTATGAATAATAATATCTCCGTTCCTGTAATATCATACACAGTGTATACACTACTTTGAGTAATTAGTAGTTATACAGATTGTCTTAATGTGTCCAATAACTGTGTTGACATTAATGCATTGAGTTTATATATTCATGTATATTTAAGTTATTAAAATTCATACTGATCGCAGAAATCTGATTATTAGTATGAAAATCGCTCAAATTAATATTCCATTGTTTCTGAATGTTTTAAATATAAAAACAATTATTTGGATTAAAGAATTATACAACTAAGAAAACATATTATACATATATATAAATATAAAAATTCAATGTAAACAATTGTCAAGTACATGGGACAAACAAAAAAAAAAAAAAATAATAATAATTGAAAAACTACAATATTTCCAATCACATAACCAACAGCATTGTCGTTTCGACTCCTCATTTTTATTAAATTTATTACCATCAACATTAATGATTTTTATATGAAATGAAAACGGTTTTATTAATTTGATTTGCTGTTATACTTCAAGCACACACTCATCAAGTTTTATTCGTTAAAATATTAATCTATCAAGTCGATGACATTGGAAATAGTCGTATAATTTTGATTAAAATCAATAATTTTCACAAAATAATGTCTTGTTATTTTTCATTTCTTCCAGCTTAATGCGATTAAAACTCACCCGAACGAAGGAGAGGAGAATAACATTTCCAACCGTTCTAATATTATTTGATCGAAAGTTTATTTTGTAGAATCGAATAAAATAAATGCTTCACAGTTTTCTCTAATCTCTAAGGATTCGGAATAGTACATAAATATATCAGTGAAACAAATTATGATTTCAAAGGCTGTATGATGAGTTAAAATACATTATTTTAGTTTATAGCGTCTATAGCTATAAACATAATTAAACTTCATATCAATGCCATAAAGTTATAATTTTTTCATTAGAAAACATTATTCCTTTGATTCAACTACTATATACATTGGCTATCAGCAAATACTCAAATTAGAGGTCGAAAAATCGATAGTTGGTTAAACTCCAAAGATATTTTTTTACTTTGAAGTATTCAGATAAAATATATAATACACATATAGGATATTTAATTGCGCTATAAAATCTAATTAAATGTTTAATTAGTTTATTTATTTG